CACCCCGCCCCCAGCTGCCCCGCCACGTCCTTCTCGGCCTGCTGTTCGAAGCCCCAAGAGGTCTCAAGGGGTGGCCCTCACAAGTTTAGGTCCCCCGTGGTGCTGGGCACAGCGGCAGTATGCTCGCCAGACAAGTTGCCAGGCGGGCAACCCTTGGGGCCTCCTAGCCTGCTATGGCGACCTGGCGTACCCGCTGCCATTAAATGCTGATTGCTGGTTTTGGAGTAGTTTTTTTAAGTTTTCGAGAAGGGAAGGTATTGATAATTAGATCCACACGATACTATACACCTTTAGCTTAGGCTGCTGCAGCTGCTGCAGCTGCTGCAGCTGCTGCAGCTGCTGCAGTAAAACCGCACCTTGCAGGCTCGTCGTCAGCTCTCTCTGCAGTGTCGCTACTTCCGCTACTTTATATCCACCGCCATTTATCTGAGTGAACGAATCCAGATCCCCCAAACCAATCTGACTATACCGTTGAGCGGGGAAGTGAATTTAAGGCAGAAATGGTGAGTCTGCTGCGAATTGCTCCTCCCCCTTTCCCGTTGCTCCTGTTCGCCAGATGTTCCACGCTTCTCTCGCGCTGTCAGGGACAAAGCCGGGCGCCTGCCCCCTCCTCTACTCCGCCTGTGTAACAAACGTGTGTCGTCCCTGCTGCAGGAGCTGCTGGCCGGCGTGGGGGACGCGGCCCGCCCCGGGTCCCCTCCCGGGTCCAGGGGCCCCGGCGTGGCCAGGCTGCTGCCGCCGCTCGCCGCCACGGTGCAGGGCGCCGTGCGCGTCGTCACCCACTACCGCCTGAGGACGGCGGCCATCATCAGCAGCGGTGAGTGCACGTCCACGTCCGTGGGTTCGCCCCACACTGCCCTGGGTTTGCCGAAGTATATATCCTCGAGCGAGAGGCAGCCCAGGCAACCCAGCCGCCCGAGGCGGACTCCAAAAATGAGGAGATCGGGTGGGGCTTATCAGCCACCTCTAGCAAATAAACTTGATAAAATGATTGCCAGCAAAATGAACTTTGTACCCAATGTGCTCAATAGGAAAATTTCGTTTTTTGATAGTGGTGTATTCCAGCGGATCAGCCGTGTTTCACCGACTGGGTGACTGGGTACCGGAGCATCATAAGTCCACCCGACCGGGCCCCGGGGGGTTATTTGCTGGGGTAGCGTAGCGGGTTCCCTGAAGGGAATGAGAAGTAGTCCGCCGCCGACCACGCTGCCCTCGGCTGCGGCTGGGCCGGAAGGCCTCCTCCCTCTCAGGTCGAGTCCTCGAGTGCACGGCCGGCAGCAGTAACCTCGTGTGTCGTGGAGAGCCGTGTGGTCCGGGCTCCTCGCCTCCGAGCCGTGAGACCCCAATCGCATTCAGAACAGGGGTCCGCCTGCCCGTCGTCCCGCTGCCGTCGTTCTGCTGCTCGGAGAATTCCCCGACCAGAAGACGTGACCTCCCCTCCCGGCACCTCACCTTACATCGGTCTCATTCCAGTTTCACACTCCCTTTGCCCTCGCGGGAAATGCGTCCAGCCAGCCAGACCCGGGCCCCGCTCCGCCGCTTGCGGGAGCCACTCCGTGTCCTCGCCGCGCCTCGCCTGCCTCCCGCGAGCCGCTAAGCCGGGCCTCGTGGCTCTCTCTCCATCCCTCCCGGAGAAAGTGAGCACAGGCGGCCCTTTTGAACTTGAACCCCGCCGCCGCCGCACTCGGAATAACTTTGGCTGTGCTGAATCAAGTCGAGCCGCCGGTCGGCCGCTGCTGCGAAACAGAACTGTCGGGTCGAGAGCACTGCATCGATCAGCCAAATGATTTATCTGCAGGTGATTTATCACGGCCCTCCACGCGCGTCGCGCCACCCGCCCGCCAACCCCTTCCTCCCCCATACTCCCCCCGCCCCGCCCCCGCGGGCCTGCTGCTCATACCTTGCCCGCCCACTGGCCCGGGCTGTCGCCGCCCTCTCTGCTGCCCGTCTGCTGCCGACCATACTGCTGGGCCCGGCTTTGCAATGATCACCGATGATCGGGGCGGGGCCGCGAACACGACAGCCTGCGTGCCGTACAGCAGCACGTACTCGCCCCACCCCTCCCCTTACCCCTCGAGCCCATTCCAGCACGTCTCGCACCGTCCCGCCGGGACCAGAAGTGCGGTGGTGGTGGTGCTGCTGCTGCTGCCGCTGTGGGCCGGCGAGGGCGAAAGGACACGGAAGCACAAAGGCAGGGTTGTCTTTACCGGGGTGTGTCAAAAACGCTCTCCGGCCCGGCCCACTCTACCCACCCCGCCCTAGTCCGCCCCACCCCAACCCCTCTCCGACCCCTCCTCACGCCCTGCCACCACCGAGCCACGCGCGCTCGCTCCCGCCGAATAACGCCGACTCGTCTCCGCCAAATTGTGCAGGGAGAGAAAGCCGAGGGCCGAGGCGCGCAACTTTTTTGCTACACTCTGCTGCGCGAACTTTGATGGGCGAGCAGAAGAGACGGGGGTACGGGGTCGGGGTGTGGCGCAGCGCGGCGGAGGTTATCTGTGCTGTGGGGGGCGGGCACCGCTGGGCACCGCCGGGCACCGCCGGGCACCGCCGGGCACCACTGGTGCCGGGAATGGGGCTCCGTCTGGCCGGGCCAGCGCCCTCCCCGCTAAAACTCGCACTTCATATGCTCCGCCCGTTGTGCATAGGGCCCTTCTCCTCCCACATGCCCTTGTGCCCCGTTGGGGCCGCCGCTGCCACCGCCGCTGCCGCCGGGAACAGATGAGGCCCGGCGGGCGCCGGCTGGACCCCGGCCCGGGTCTCTGTTGGCCTCCCTCCTCCTCCGTTCTCTTCGCTTTAGCCCCGAGGTATAGCGGCGCCACATGCCCGCCTCAACCTGGATCCGACAAAGAAGCAGCCCACACACACACGCCCCCGCGAGCGCTACACAAGAAGGTTTTTCTGCTGGGCTAGAAGGTCCTCTGGCAAAAGGGTGAGGCGTCCTTCGGGCGGGCGTCCTCTTGGGCCGGCTCTCATGGGCCGGTGTACTCTCCCGGATCCTGGGCGACGCGGCAAAAAGAGGCGGAAGGCCTCGGTAGGCGCGCCCTGGAAGCCCCGTCAGGCAGGCACTGCAGCTGCCGCGCATCCCGCTCGGCAGTAAAAAAAAGCAGAGGGGCGGGGGCGCTCCTGGCGAAAGGCGAGCCCGACTAATCTCCTCACCGGCCTGGGGACCTCCGCGACCCGACCCGACCCGACCCGCGGGCAACAGGTTCAAGAGGGGGACGATGTCGGTCACCAAAGGTCAGCCACGCCGCGGCCGCGGCGGGCCAGGCGGTCGCTCCGCGGAGTGTGGTGTAAAGTCAGCTGACGCCCGCTGACACGGAATAATGAGCGCCAGTCTGTAACTGGAATTGGTTTACACAGGCCTGTGCTGCAGAGTGCCGCCCCTCCGCGCGCGGCCCCAGACCTGAGCCCCGCCGCCGTGTCGAATGGCGGAGCTGCGCGGCGACCGCGCGCCGGATAAAGCTCGGCCCCATTGTGCCCGGGATAGAAAGGCTGCGCCAGGCCGGCCCGAGCCGACCGGCGGCGGGTAGTATTTCGAAAATCCGCGTCCGCTCTACCATCGCGTGGTGAAAAGAGTGGGGCTGGGCGCGCGGCTCTCTACTTGTGACGTCACGACCGAGTACAAAGTGCAGTAGTTGGCAAAAGGGGGGGAGAGGGTAAAGTAGGGGAGAGGTGGAAGCACGGGGCGTTTTAACGGGAGAGTCAAAGAGTGTCTCGAATAACGACGTCCTCTGTGTTGTGCGCCTACCCCAGCCCCCAGCCCCGCCGCTCGCCCCGCTCCGCCCCGTGCGCCTCTCGGCATGTGGCCGTGACGCACGCCATTGACAGCACTACACTATGGCCTCATCTGTCAGGCACAGGTGCGCGGCGGCCCTCAGCCTCTGTGTGTCCCCCATCACAGCCCGGGGACGGCTGCGCTGTGATGTACTCATCTTCAGTCAGAATCGGCCGTACAGAGAACTGATTATTTCACATATCTGGGGAAGGACGCAACGTTCGCGGTTTTGTTTGGCGGTTTGAACTGCAAAACACAAAAGTTGTCAGGAATATGGCAACAATTATTAAATCTATTACCACCTAGAGAGTGCACACGAGTGCTGGGTATGCGGTATGCACTCTGAATGACAAAGGGTCGAACAATGGCATGGTAAACGGGGGGAACAAGGGTTTGTGCCTAGTTGTCATTTAAAACTATCAGCAGTTAATAAATCACACGAGTATTGTGACACGTTTGCATAGTGTGATCCAGGCGCTCTGCTGAACTTAATTGTAAGCGCGGCCAGCTATTCTCTCTGTCGTGCAATCGGCCGCGCTGCCGTGCGAAAATCTGCAGCTCGTTGGCAATAATCAAGCAGTGCTCACCCCCACGCTGCTGTCGTAATCACTTTGTGTGCAACGTGAGAGAGATAGAGTGAGAAGAGAGGGAGAGATTGTATAGATAAAGCAGAGAGGAAGAGCAGGCAGGCAGGCCGACGGACAGGGACGGCGTCGCTCCGCTAAGCTCTGTCCAAGAGTGAGGGGCGGTGGTGCCGAATTGAAATTAATCGAAATTATTGCAGTGAGACGACACATCGCTAACCTCATGGACGTGCACGCAGTTGCGAGTGGGCGTGGGCGGGCGAATAAGCCATGGCGTGTGGCTGAAGTCCTGCATTTGTTTTGTTTTTTATGCTTCGGGGAAGGAGAGGGTGGGCGGATGGGCAACGTGTGTGTTTTAGACGTCTGAATTGATTTCATCGCGAGCCACCGCCGAGCATGGTGCGGATATAGAGGTCGGGATGGGGGCTGCTGAGACGACACACGACACGCCGTACCATGTGGCTCTTTAGCCAGAGCGCACCGCACCATGCCCCGGGCAGGGTAGGGTGAGGGGTGGGGTGGGCTGCGGGGCAGGGTGGGGCGGGTGGACTGTAGGTGAGATATGATAGCTGGGAAGGGGTGGGGGAGGGCGACTGGAGCAGTAGGGTTTGCCCTTGACTGTGAGATCCAACCTAGCCGAGTGCGCGGGGGTGTGGGCGGCGCCGGGGAGGGAGAGTGGGGGGCGGGACGGGGCCGCGACAGCCATAGCCGAACTGCTCGCGTGGTGCGGTGCCCGAGTGCTGCTGCTGGGCTGGGGCGATCGAACGCCCCTGGACTCAGCAGGACCCTGCAGGTCTCCTCGGCGGGGGGCTGCTGGCAGCTTCGCTGTTGGCAGCAGGGGAAGACTCGGCCTGCAGAGGACCCAGTGCTGCTCCCAGCTGGAGCAGGCGACCTGAGGCCCGGCCAGCATGCCGTCATCCCGGCCGGCGCCACCCTGCCCCTATTGCCCCCTGCCACCCAATGCCGCCCCCTGCCGCCACCCTGCCACGCCCTGCCGCCCCCGCCTCCCGGGCCCGGGGGCCCAACCTGTCCGTACGTTCGGCAAATTGGACAGGACCACCAGCTCTTTCGCTGCCTCCCCGCTCTGCCCCAGCTCGCTGGACTACATGCTTGCGTTGGATACCGCCATGACGCTCGCTGCAGCCCTCTTTCCGTTCTTATAACCCCGCTGTGATGTCGGGCCTAACCGGGCGGCACACGGTCGGGGGACTTGGCATGCTCCCCATGGGGCACCGCGTTTGGCAACTTGTTGTCCATTAATAACATACCCGCCCTCCCCACCTCCTCCAGCTTGCGCCCCGGGCGACACACTCGGGTGACCGTGTGAGACACAGAATTTTCCTCGCGGGTGGTAAGTACCACATAAAAAGGCGCTCGTAGTCGCCCGGGCCGTAAAATATACGCAAAAATAGGGAAGTGACGCTGCTGTGCAACACCAAACATATCAGAGATGCT